TTACGTAATGCATGTTGTGTATCTTTGCTATTTTTTCAGCATAGAGAAAGCGATCCTATAGAGAAAGCAAAATGTCCTGAATGTTATACTTCCGCATCGGAAAACAAAAAGAGAAATTATCAAGGGGTCTTATGGCATTACATTCATTTAGGGCTCTCTGAACGTTTCGAATTCTGTAGTGCATATACTATATTAACTCACTCGGCATGCCGTCGTAAGTTGTCCCGACTGTCCCGAAGTATTAGAAAGATTCGTCGCTTATCTAGGGAGAACGGGAGAGCAATCGTGGAATAATTCGGAATTCACTATAATCGGAATATCTAGCGCTCGCCTTTAACCAATCGTAACTTGGACAAATTTGGCTACGACACTCTCTGATATACAAAATTGCTAATTTCGTATCACACCATAGCCTCAGGTTAGTTCGAAACCGGGGGACCGGCCGAGCCTCCCTGAGACATAACAATAATCGATTGCGATTCGTCCATTTCTTATAACTTAAGGCTTAAAAATCTGTTGTAGATCCGGGCTAATGAAAATACGATAAAAGTTTGATAAAAAAATGAGCGAACTTTTTGAATTACTCGGCAACGAAGCGTCCTAGTGACGTGCGGTTTACAACGCTATAATTGTTATAATCTTCTGAGTAGCTGGCTTTTTTTTAATTGTTTACATCTCGTTTAGTTTTAGAGTTATTGCTATTTGAGTGTAATGTATTTTAGTGTCCGTGGCGATTTTCGCCTCGAACTGAATTTTTATTTTAGGAACTAGGATTTTAATTTTGGGAACAAGAAAAAGTCGCAGGAAACAACCCTGGCAAAAATACGGAACTTTATAAAACGTTGATAACTGTTCGATGACGATTTCTTAAGAGTTTATACGTTTTCAAACTTTAAAAACGCTTACAGAACATCATTGGGTTTTAAACATTTTCAAAACGCTTATAAAATAGTGTATATATGGTTTCAAGTTCTATAATGCTAAAGTAACGCTTTCCAAAGAATGCTCAGTAAACGCTGATGCACCTTCGTGCAGAGTTTAGTCAGACTTTTTGAACATTTAGCAAACGCTTTTCTCAATATCGTGAGACAAGCATTTTCCTTCCGTTCAACAAACGCTGTTCCAATGTAGCGAATTATTGAATCTCAGTTTTGTAAGGCTTTTACGCAACCGGCTTAAAAACTCCCAAAAAACATTTTTCTCAACTCCATAACACAAGCGTTTTTCCATCGTTTAGTAAACATTTTTCTACATATCTAATTTTCAAGCAGTGAACACTAAAAAGACTCAATGAAATTCAATTTCTCGCATTTAAAAACCACATTAAATAGGATAAAAAGTGCGGTATAATAAGATTTCTCAATAAAAAATTTTATACCCTTCTTTTTGATAAAACATCTGCGTTCTTTTTGATAAAACATCAGCAGACTCAACACTTGAACTGAATGTTCATATAAATGTCAAACATTTATGAAACTTCTTATTTTCAGAGAATGCCTTCGAAACGCTGCAGCATTTTACGAACACTACTGGCCGTTTCTAAATTCTTAACAAATTCCTGCAACGCTTATGTAAACGTTAAACAAACATTTATGAAACTTCTCATTTTCGTCAGGGAAGGTCTGAGAAGGCTGGGGGAGAACAATCATCTGATTTTTGACACAAAACTTGCGAATTAACAAGGCTGAGTGACAGGCGCACTGTCGTAGTGAAGGAAGGAAGTCATAGTAACTTACTTATTTCACGCATGCGCACTCCATTTTGGCCAACACTAACATCAAAGGTGCCGACAGAGAGTTGCGCTACTATATATACTGTGGTAGTACGATTGATTGTTTGATCTTGAGGCAAAAATTGCAAAAATTCGTTTTAAGGTGAAAATCGCGACCAACACTAAAACATGTTACACTCAAATAGCAATAACTCTAAAACTAAATGAGATGTAAATAATTAAAAAAAGCCAGTTACTCGGAAGATTATAACGATTGTAGTGCTGCAAACCGCATGTCGCTAGGACATTCCGTTGTCGAATAATTCAAAAAGTTCGCTTTTTTTTATCAGACCTTAGATTTGTTTTTTGTTCCTGCATGAGGATTACACTAGACCTGAATTAATGCAATCCAAAACTGACGAGTGTAAGCGTGCAGGCAAGGAATAAAAAACATTTTAGTGCAAGATAAAAATGGTGCCCCATACTGTTTACATGGAAGTATTAGATTCGTGTGATGAAAATAAATGCAATTCCATTTAAAAAATTCTTACTTAAAGATAATGACACAAAATGTTTTTATATGTAGGCTTGCTATTATTTATATATATTTATCATTTTATTACTTATAATTCTCGGATAATTATTTAGAAGACATCCTTCAATTTTAATAAAACTATGCCCATTTATCACATTTTTGCATGAAACGAAAGAATCTGGCAATAAAATATCATGCCTATAAACGTTAAAGTTGACGACATTGGTTAGGAAATTTGTCGACTTAAGGCTCCTGACTTCTTTTTCTTCTTCTTCTTTAAAGTTAATGGCTCCCGCCTCCTGAAATAATAAACGGAGGTCGATATGGCCAGATCACGTCCTTATGATACAAAAACTAAAAGTGATGCGAAAATGGCGAAGCCCGCCCGGACATCGGGCGCCTGCGTTTACGACATCGTCATGCCGCGTGGACGCGCGTCAGGATGAACGAACGAGTCGTTCAAAACGACGGGACGGCTATGTGTGTTTCAATGCTCAGTCAAAGTTGGCAACACTTCCAAAAATATAACTTGTAGCACCCGAGCCGAGATGCGTCCACCACGGGCGAGTGGTTCTTCAGAACTCAAGGCTCCTGACTTAGCCAAGAACTCTGCGTTGATGGAGACAGAATCAGATGGCGATCTGGCGAAATCGGTAGCCATACACGTAAGCACGAGCCCATGTCCGTGCTCGCCTGCGACGCGCCGAGAGTGAACGAGACAGGAGCTCCTTCTCTTACTAATCACTTGTTTCAAGCGACCGGAAATGCTTTCTCGGCTATCTCGGTCGCTCGGCGGCTCTAGGCATCAATAAGGGACGGGGAGCATTCTAAATAACATATAAGTTTTAATAATAATGTACCCCCCCCTCTTCTTCCATTAATCCAGAATAGTATAAATCATGTTAAAATGCAATAGTTTACGAGATATTTAATTTACGATTTTTCATGCGCGTTATATAGTATACTTCTCCTTCATAAACTCGGGTAGCAAGAATAATTCAGTAGAAGTAGAATTTTACCAGAAAAAAATTATAAACCAGCATTTCTCTTCACGAAAGTCTTGCAAGGCCGTTAAAAAAGAAATGCATATGTTTGAGACTCGAGACTCGTTAAGAAAATATGCGGAAAAAAATCGAATAGTTGCAAAAAGCACGTTTTTCGCTTATAAAACGAAAGATATTGATTGTATGGAAAAAAATTCGGTTGTATATAAAAAATGTAGGTATTCGAAATATCTATAAAATGAGACGTGGAACATTAAAATCGATTTATTAGTTCAGTAGAAAAAAATAAAAGATACCGAAAAAAGTCTTTTCTTCACTCGCTCTCTGTTTATTGAGATTTTAACACAAAGCTTTGAAATTCTCGTAAAATGTGGCCCTCGTAATGATGAACAAATCTAGCCCTGAACAAGCCTGAAATGTTCATTAGTTATTGCAAAAAGTCATTTGTTCATTAAAAGCCTGTCTGCGGAAAACTTAATTTCTTCATCTTTGAGCAGTCGCACAGCAAGTTACAGGGGTGATTTTTTTTCTTCAAGAGTGCACTATCACGTATACTTAATAATAAAACGATTTTTTGCAATTAAACTATTCTAAAATGACTTTAAAAAGTATCCTTTTTTATATAAAAACAATGGAAATAATTTAATATGCATCATATCAAATAACCGTGTGAAGCATTCAAAATCTGACATTTTTCTACGAATTTAAAAAAAAAGATTACCCTTAGATTATTAGGAGCCGACATAACAATTTTTTTCAAAAAATCACTGTGGTTTTAGTTCCTAAGATTAAGAGTTCTGTCTGGCACCAATTTATCAAGGAAGAATTGAATTTGCTGTTAAAAAAATCTCAAATTGCAACCATGAAATTTTTAGTTAAAAAAATTTTTTTTTTCTTGAATTTTTATTTTTTCGATTTATTACTTTATAAAAAATCACATTTGAGTATGGAACGCATCCGATTAACAAATTTAAATCACATTAGTTATGTTTCTTTATTTAATATGCTGTAAAAAGTGTTCAATTAGACAATTAAATGTATGGAATTATCAGTACAAAATTGTTTTTTTGAATTTAATTGCAGATGCAAATATGACATATGTAAACAAATAATTAATAAATAATTTGCCAAATGTTAGCGTAACTGTACACTAACTTTCGCAAATATAAAAGTAAATTAGTTACATGAAAAATATATTTTACTATTATATTCAACAGTTACACTAACATTTGATAAATTATTTATTATTTGTTTACATATCTGCATCATATCGACCCATGAGAAAGTAGCAAATTGCATCATGTGAATAACAGCGTCCAATCAAGGCAGGGATCACATAATTAGTTTTCTCCAATCTCTTCCACTTCCATGCCTATGGAACTTTGATAACTGCGCCCAATTAGAGGATTAGAGGAGACGGATCACGTGATGCAGTTTGCTACTCTCTCCCTTTGAGATTCTCTAGTTATTCTTCTCGCCATTCTCTTTATTCTCTCGTGTTTCTTGTGGCCGGGAATTAAATTTTTGGATTTTTGGATTTTGGAAAGTGTGAACCGGCTTCAAACGCGCATTTACAATAATAAGTATATTATATTCTGTCAAAAATTATTGTATCAAATAAAAAATTAAAATCCAAACGCTACAATCTTAAATAATGAAGTTAAATTCTATCAAATGAAAAAGTATCCTGATGAAAATGTAAAGCTTGTCAAAGCGTCAAAAAAGGGTGAACAAAGAATTTTAACGCTTCTTAAATGCTTTATTGACTTTCCATTTTTAGTAGTTTTGAATATTCATACACGCTCCACGAACTCGCCCTAAACGCTTCGTAAAGTGTGCCCAAATCTGTCACATTTCCCACATGTTTAAAATTTTTTTTTCATTAACGTTTCTCATATGCTTCTCAACACTCCGCAAAGAATACGTGGAGCATACTGATACACTTCCTGAAACGCTTCATTCATTAGTACTTCATCTACGCTTCCTAAACGTTCGGCAAAAAGTACACGGAGCATTTAAATACACTTCGTGTATGTTTCCAAGATTTAGAAATAAAAAATTTATTTTAAAACGGAGCTTCATTGAGCTGTACAGCAAACATAAACGAAGCATCGTTGAGTAATATGCGGCACTGCCACCAGAAAGACTTAGTGAGAACTAACTTCTTTAATTTAAAAAACCACACAGATTAGAATAAAAGATGTAGCATTGAATTGATTTTTCAGTTGTGTTTTAATGAAATAATTTTTTGAAGTAAGCCCCTAAGGCTCTAAGAAGAAAGAATAGCACTTTTTTTAGATACTTACTGAATAAATGAAATATATTTTAAAATATCATTTGCAAGGACCTCGATTACATTTCATTCGTCTAAGAACTCGACGATGCTTTGTTTACGTTCTCTAGACTGCTTAATCACGCTCCGTTTATATTTAACAAACATTCTACTCGTACTTGCTGAAGAACTTATCTATACTTTTATTTATGTTTCTTTACATTTAGTTGACGCTTCCTTTACGTTCCAATTTTCGCTTCTTATGGATTTCATTTACGTTTCTGTTACTTCCTCCTTACACTTCCTTTACACTCCAATTAACGCTTTATTGATACTCGTTTTATATTTTATTTTTATTAGAGTAGTGCTTTTTTTACCTTTTTTTAAAACCATTTTTTACCCCTTTCTCATAGCACTTCGTCGAATTATAGCGTCATTATCTGTATAAAAAGTTATATATGCAATTATACCATTTAATTTATTTATTAAAAAAAAACTATAAATTATTTTTGTATAGATATATTTATCACATGCAGAATAAAAATGTAAATTCTTATCAATGATGAAATGTTCAAATCCTTCCAAACACTTATGAGTTAAGATTGATGATTCTTCTACTATTTCTTCACAAATTCCAAGTATTAACAAGATTTATCTAACAAAAAAATACATGAATACTCAACACATTACAAGATGATATTGTTAGATTACAAAATACATATGCACTTTTTCATTAAATGATTTAAGAAGCAAGACCAAAATTTTTTATTTAAAATAAACTATAACTTTCTAAATTAGATCATTTTATACTTTACCACAAATTTGAAAGTTACAATTGCGATATATTATTCACATTCTCGATATCAATAGATTAAGGTTATGACTTGCTTTCATATTCGATTTATTGATACTTATTAAAAATAATTAATCAATTAATTAATTACAAACATGTGTCCGTACTTTGTCCGAAGCCATTCTTCGTTGTATTTTCTTAATATTCATTGCAATAAATAAAATTTTCACAATGAAAGCTTCACGATGTATTGTACGCTTTCTCGATTTTGCTGCTTACTATTCGTTCGGTTTAACTTCAACGAACTGCAGCAAAATGTATTCTGCGCCGGAAGTGTGTCATCTCACGTAAAATTCTTAACCAATAGTAATGAATTACTGCCGTAGCGTGCTGCGCATAAAAAGGCACCTTTATGCAAAAGTTTGTGTTGCAGCCATTAAACCGGGATGGACGTGTTTGGATTACATGACATTTTCCCGAAAATCTAAACTAAAAAATGTTGATACTAAAAAAAATTTCTAGGCAACATGATTTTAATTTGTCCGGATTACGGAGTAACACTGTTGAAATAGTAAATCCTATAAATTGTAGTATGGACTTAGGTCCTGCGCACAGTAGCAAGAATAAGAAATTAGGAATAAAGGATAAACGATTTTAATCTATTCCAGAAATTGGATACGTCGGAACACACGATTTTTGATATAGATTGAAATCTTAATATTTATTCTTATTCTTAATTTTTCTTCCATTGTCCGTCCACAGAGCCTTATGGACGAACTTATGTTTGTTTTCTATTCCTGCATTGGTAGCATTAGTTCAAAAAGTGTACACTAAAACATTTTCCCAAAATAGCATCAGCGACGATGTTTTTTGTTCCAGTGTAACAGAATTGCACGAATTCACTGTACTGGCTGCCTCAGGTCTGGAGTCAGTGCAAGCAATACAAACTAGTGTACATTAGTTCAGCCATAAAAACAGACCTTGTACAAATAGTGCGAAAATTGGTAATTATTTAGAAGACACCCTTCATATAAACTTACATAGCCTACATATAAAAACATTTTATGTCATTATTATCTTTAATTAAGAATTTTTTTTAATGGAATTGCATTCATTTTTATCACACGAATCTAATACTTCCATGTAAACAATATGGGATGCCATTTTTATCTTGCACTAAAATTAAAACGTTATTTATTCCTTGCCTGCACGCTTACACTCATCAATTCTGGATTACACTAACACTCGTATTTATAATCAGGCCTCATACCATATTTAAGGCTTCTTTAAATTTATCTTTAGATACTCTACGAATTATTTCATTAGCTACTGAGTATTTAAAGATAAATTTAAGGAAGCCTTAAGTACAAGATTTGACTATGAATACAGGCATAATTCAATTCAGTTCAGTTCAATTCTAGTATAATCTTCGCGCAGGAGCAGAAAACAAACCTATGGATTTACTACTTCAACATTTTCCAGTCTAGTTTTTCAGGAAAATGTCATGTAATCCGTGTTTGTATTGTCTGTTTATAAAATCACTAGATTTGTAAAGTACAGCAATTGATTTCAGAAATGTCGCATCAAAATGGTCGAAGTGCACATAGTACACAATTTCAAGCATATAGTTGATGGTTCATCTTTTAAACTGTATTTACTTGTCCCTTCATGCACTTTTATGCACATAAACTTTTACAACAAATAAATCTATATTAAACTAATAGCGAATTCGGGAGATTAAAGTCACTAGATTTCTAAAGTACCGCAACAGACTTTCAAGTTTAATTGCGTCAAAATGGCGGTATTGCACCACATGCGGTATGTACTATTCACACGCTGTTTTGCACTTACATATATATACTGTTTGCGCATTTTATGATTAATTTGCTCGTCCTCTTGTGCTTGCTTGTTCGAAATTTGAAAACTGATATGAATGCTAAGCTTCACTGATAAGCTTCAAACTACACACTTTCGCACTTTTCTGCATTAACACTTCACAACGAAAAAAGCTATGTTAGACTAAAAGATACACAAATTAAGCATTTATATAGTATTTCTTTTGGTTTATAAATATATTATTTATAATTAAAAAATTGATTTACATATTTTACGGCTTTATTTTCCCAAATAAACTATATTTATACGAAGACATATTTTGAAAATAACCGTGTTTTACGTCAAGATGGAGGCAAATTTGCGGTACTTTAGAAATCTAGTAAACTTTACGAGAGACTGCACTAGTGCGCACTGAATGCGAACTTTTTCAGTGCCACGCACATATATTATAGCATTTCCCTAGTTTTTTGTATGCAATACTTTTCAAGAATAGAGACCTAGTGCATTAATATTGAATTTGATAAATGAAAACTGTCCCATAGTATGATACTAAGTTATGTTCAAATCAACCGAATAAAAGTACAATTTTATGGTATCGCAACGATAAATGATTACGTGACTAAATTCTTTCTCAATTTGCCCATTTTCTTGTCGCTAGCGACACTGACCTAGTTTATATCGAGTTCAATCTGAATTAGAATGTGAGAACCAATTAATTGCAGTCGAGCATTCACTTGTTATTCGATTGTAACAGGGGAATGCTCGACTGCAGTTGGTTGGTTCTTGCATTCTGATCTAAATTGAATCCTCAAAATAAACTAGGCCACTGTTGGAAAGTTGGATTAATCTAGTGTCCCTAGAATATATTGTAGAATCTGGCAATCGGTCCCTAAAAATGGTGGACGCATCTTTGTTGGACACATCTTTATTTTTACCATTGAAATTAATGAAGAAATTTTTCACTTTCTACTTTCCATCCTATGCATAAAGTTTTATAATTGAGATGCGCGTATCTGTCGCATATTTGCATTAGTACAACAAAGACGAGAAAAAATAAGTCTGACACAGAGGTTAATATAAAAAGCATAAGTAAATAAATAAAACAAAATAATATAATATTATAATAAATACAAAATACCAAAATTATAAGTGAGAAAAATGCGATTAAATGTATTCACGTTTTAACAAAAAATTAATGTGTTATAAATATAAAAAGTAGAATAATAGTATGAATAGTATTTAAGTATAAAAGTATTTAAATATAAAAGTACTATGACAATAATTCTTTGTATTTACAGGATACACAATGCCAGTTGTATAATGAAATGTTTCAATTCATGGAAGACAAGTAATACAATGCATTAACTTTCCAAATTGTGGTGATTGGTTCCATCATTTTTAAGGGGTCCGACTTCTGATGCAATAAAAAGAGATCTACTAGATCGCCGGACTCTGTATTCTAGGGACATTAGATTAATCCAATTTTAGTGACATCTCTCTTATGTAAAGATTTAAATATGGAACCGCAGGATGTAAATATAATAAAGGTATTTACTTAAGCTATATTTCAAAACATCCTTTCCGAAGAAAATTTTATTAAAAATATATAGAACATGTAACATATATTACAGTATTTTGAGTAAAATTTTTCTCGGAGAGGGCGTTTTGGAATGTAACTTTAAAATATATATATATGGATGTCATCGCAAAACTTGATAAAAATATACGTATTTGATACGTTTCTATCTGAAATGAGAGAATGTAGTAGAAAAATAAGACAGTCTGCCTTAAGTGTTTATTCAGGTTAAGAAAAGTCTTTATCTGGACTATGTTCCAAAACTTTTCTAAAAGAAATTTTATTCGAAATATATAGTATACGTAACGTATACTATAGCATATAGAGTAAAATCTTCGGAAAGGAAATTTTGGAAAGGAATGTAACCTAAATAGTTGTCAGAACTGCGAAATGTAAACGTTACCTAAGTGGTCTCGTGTATTGAACTATATATACACTGTGTTAGGTGCGTTCGTACATTTATATAGACCGAATATTGCCGCGCCGATACACTCGCGAGCATTTACATGTACGCGAGTGACGTCACGAGGCGGCGCAAGCGCAAACGGAAAGGAAACAGCAAGGTGGTGCGTGCTCGCCTCATGGGGGGTCTTTTTTTCTGCTCGTCGCCCGAATCTTTGGTATTCTTTTGTAAGGAAGAAATAAAGCAGGAGTGAATCGAGTGCGAGTACTTGAATCTTTGATCGCGCACCCTTCCCGTACAAACCAAGATATAACAAACTGGCGACGAGGATGGGATTTGCAACGGTGGTTTTTTTTTCGGTGTAAAAGTTTTTCTCTCGCGGTTCTCGAACAGGAGTTGCACACGTGTTTTCGGGATACCTCCCGCGACGAGACACTACTACGCGAATCGTTTTGAACAAGACCGTTTCAAAATTTACATTTGAAGTGACTTTTTCGATTTTTGTTCTGCAATTTTCATGGGTGTACACGCGTAATTTGCAAGTTACGAACTTTACACACACGCATATACAAATATTACATGTCGGGCAAGGATAAAGAGCCACGCGACGGAAAACCGAAAATTACAAATACAAGCGCATCTACAAGTACCGCGATAGTTGCAAAGTCGACAATGTCCAGTACCATACAAAATATCGTCGATCCATTCACGCCGGGAACCTCGAATTGGGAAAGATGGTTTACACGATTCGAAGGATGGTTACAAATACACAAAATCACGGAGGAACAAGAACGCGTTTTACACCTAACCCTTTTCTTAAGTGAGAAAGCTTACAACATTCTGTATGACAGTTTAGGCACAGAAAAACCTACGGATAAAACATTTGATGAACTGAAAGCTAAATGCAAAGAACTTTTTGCATTTAGCTTTCAGTTCATCAAATGTTTTATCCGTAGGTTTTTCTGCAGTAGGTTTTTTTGCACCAACTGGATTAGAAATAGCGGAGACATACAAATTCTGTCATCGCAAGCAACTGCCTGGTGAAACAGTACAAGATTTTGCCAGTGCCCTAACGAAATTAAGTACAACTTGCAATTTCGGTACTTTTCAAAATACGATGTTGAGAAATCATTTAGTTTTCGGAATTTCAAGCCGCCGTACACAGAGCAGACTGCTCGAAACCAAGGAATTAACCTATGAAAAGGCATTGCAGATTGCACTTGCAATGGAACTTACAGAGAAGGAAACGAATACCCTCTGTAAAGATACAACACAGGACGTCCACTATCTACATGCAAATAAATTTCAAAAGAAGAAAGATACGGTGACGCCGAAAGGTTCCAAACCAAATACAAAAAAATTTCTCCAAAACTCTCCAAGTATCGCATGCTATCGATGCGGAAAAAGTGATCATAAAGCGGATAAATGCAAATTATCAAAGTATATACAATGCAATTTTTGCAAGAAAAAGGGGCATTTAGAAACGATCTGTTTGAAAAAGAAGCACAGTAATTGCAACGTATTACAGGAAAAGAACGATATTTTCGAAGCCAACTCACTTTTTAATCTGGAAATATTACAATGTGATTCACCCCTGCCAGAACAACGAGGTCTACGGGAGAAATTCCAATTCGACATTGAGGTCAACGGAAAAATGATCAACTTCGAGGTCGATTCCGGAGCTGCAGTCACCATCATGGAAATACACCATGCGAAAATGAGTTTCAAGAATCTGAAAGTGCATCCCGCTAAATTACAGTTAGTGACTTATTGTAATACGCCAATACAGGTAAACGGTTACGCTACAGTTTCTGTAAAATTCGAAAATGAAATGTACACATTGAATTTATACCTTACATCGATCAAACGTACACCATTGATGGGTCGAGAATGGATACGTATGTTCTTGACACGTCAAAACGCGAGTAATTTATTTACACAAAATACAGTTTCACAAATTCGCGACGAAATCGTAGTAAATATAGACAAAGATGTATTTATAAAAAATCTTTTCGCGAAATACAGTAATTTGACAAACAAAAAGCTAGGTAAGGTTACAGGTATGAAAGGTTCACTTACATTGAAACCTAATGCTAAAAAAGTATTTTTAAAAGCTCGTCCTATGCCTTTTAAACTGATACCACGGGTAGATAAAGAAATAGAAAACCTTATAAATGAAGGAATCTTAGTAAAAGTCGAGACTTCAGAATTTGCAACTCCCGTTGTTCCAGTTTTGAAAGCAGATGACACTGTCCGTTTATGCGGAGATTACAGCGTTACAGTCAATCCGCAACTACAAATTACTGAGCATCCGTTACCTACAATTGATGAACTGGTTTCTGAAATGTCGAACTGCACGGTTTTCGGTAAAATTGATATAAAATGGGCATTCTTGCACCTTGAAATGGACGAAGAAAGCTCACAAATCCTGACGATAAATACACATAAAGGACTTTACAAAGTCATGCGGCTAATGTACGGAATCGCATCGGGACCTGCTCTATGGCAAATCACAATGGAGAAAATATTACACGGAATTAAAGGCGTTAAAGTCATGCTCGATGATATTGCCATAGCAGCGGGAAACGAATACGAATTTACAAAAATTCTTGAAAAAGTTTTCAAAAGATTAAACTACTATAACATTAAAATAAACGAAAAGAAATGTGTATTTTTCGCCAGTGAGATTACTTATTGTGGGTACATCATCGGCAAAAACGGATTGCAAAAAGACAGCTCGAAATTCGACGCAATTACAAAAATGCCACGACCTAGAAATGTTACTGAAGTTCAGTCGTTCATCGGTATGATAAACTACTATAGTAGATTTATTGAAAATACGAGTACATTATTGAAACCGTTATATGAATTGCTACAAAGAAATAAAGAATTCAAATGGACTGAACGTCAGGAAAAATCTTGGGTAGCAGCAAAAAAGGCTTTTACAAGCAATAAATGTTTAGCTTTTTACGATCCAACACTTCCGTTAGTGTTACACACGGATGCGAGTCACCACGGAGTGGGGGCAGTATTGTCACACCAATATCCCGATGGAACAGAGCGAGCAATACAATACATTTCTCAAACACTCAACAAAACGCAAATTAAGTACAGCATGATCGATAAAGAAGCTTACGCAATTGTTTTCGCTATAAAACGTTTGTACATATACTTATACGGAAATACTTTTAAATTAGTAACGGACCATCGTCCTCTTACAAAAATTTTTGCAAAGGACAAAGGGTTGCCATTATATAGCGCGATGCGCATGCAGCATTATGCAATATTCTTACGTGGTTTCAATTTCACCATCGAGTATAGGAAATCGGAGCAAAACGCTAACGCAGATTGCCTTTCCCGTCTTCCAATTTCTGGAGAACCGGAAACCAATGACGTTGTCGATTTGTACTACGTAAACACGATAGGCTCTTTGCTCATTACGCCTACTAAATTACGGGCAGAATTTCAAAAAGATAAAGAATTACAAAAAGTCGCCAACGCGCTATGTAACGGCAAAACTCTTACACATGCTGATACTTGGGGCATTGACCCAATAGAATTTAGTCTAGAATGCGATATTCTTGTTCGAAATCACATGATTGTAATTCCGACCACATTACGTAAGGAAGTCCTGCAAGAACTACACTCGGGACATTTCGGTATGACCAAAATGAAAGGGTTAGCGCGAGAACACTGTTGGTGGCCCGGAATTACGCGCGACATCGAGACGGTCGTAAAAGACTGCGTCGAATGCAACACAGTCGCGAATGCGCCGAAAGTTGCAGAAAAACATGTGTGGGAAACACCCACTGCGCCTTTCGTGCGATGGCACATCGATTTTGCACATAAGGATAATACGACGTTTTTTATATGTGTCGACGCATTTACGAAATGGCCGGAAGTTTATATTGTTCCAAATATGCTTACAGAACCGACCATCGATATTTGTAAAGAAATCTTTTCGAGATTTGGGTTACCGAATGTTGTTGTAAGTGATAACGGTCCTACATTTACATCCCAGCTATTTCAACAATTCCTTCGGACTTACGGCATTACGCATAAAACCTCTGCTCCTTTTCACCCCGCGTCAAATGGGCAAGCAGAGAGGTACGTCCAAACCATTAAAAGAGCTTTACAGAAAATGCCAACTGGCAAGAATTTACATTCCAGTTTACAGACTATCCTTTTCCAGTACCGAACGATGCCTCATGCCGTAACAGGAATTCCACCTGCGGAGTTAGTTTTTAATAGAAAGATACGAGCAAACCTCGATGTAATGCGTCCAAACAAAAGCGAGGAACGCGACGACAAGGTTAATGTACATAAACAGTGTCGAGAATTCAAGGCGAACGATCGAGTAAAAGCGAGAAATTATACCGGCAAGGCAAAATGGATTTTTGGCACTATAGTACAGCGCATCGGAAAATTAAATTACTTAGTTCATTTAGATGACAGTCGGATTTGGCGACGTCATGTCAATCAGTTACAATCCACGGGGGTACAAAATACTGTAGAGGATTGCGATTATCATGCTCCGCCGGACGAAACGGAGTCGTCAGGATCCGCGATCGAAGGCGATGTCACCTTGGGACCCAGTACGTCAAACGCAGAATCGTCGCCAAGCCTCGGATCCGTACCCACGGATCGCACACTTAGACCTAGGAATAAACTCAAAGCACCTGAACGCCTGCAGTACCATCACCCGAAAAATTGATTCCGATATAAATCAAAGGAGACAGTTTCTTTTATTTTTTTTCTTTTACAAAGGAAGGTGTTAGGTGCGTCCGTACATTTATATAGACCGAATATTGCCGCGCCGATACACTCGCGAGCATTTACATGTACGCGAGTGACGTCACGAGACGGCGCAAGCGCAAACGGAAAGGAAACAGCAAGGTGGTGCGTGCTCGCCTCATGGGGGGTCTTTTTTTCTGCTCGTCGCCCGAATCTTTGGTATTCTTTTGTAAGGAAGAAATAAAGCAGGAGTGAATCGAGTGCGAGTACTTGAATCTTTGATCGCGCACCCTTCCCGTACAAACCAAGATATAACACACTGGAATGGGCATCTTTACTGTAAAGTATAGAAAATCGTGACACCAATTAATCAGCGCCATTTTTATTTGGTCAATATAAGAGCGAATCAGAAGCTTTTAGGTGCTTATACGCACTTACGTTCAGTGTACTTTAATGAGACACATATGTCAACAAGATCATCGTGTGTGGAGTTATATTTGATATTGAGAATACAAGTATTTGAGTTCAGCGCGTTTCTGTACTCGAGTGTACAGACCAATACTTTTATGCGTGACTGTACTGTACTCGACTCAAGCGCGGCTCGGAAAACTTCGACTCTCATCGTAATTAACCGATATCCGTTTAAGTGATCTCTCTCGCAGTCTCTGCTTGAATTCCGAAATGAGAGGACAGCACGCTCGCGGATTATAAAATTTACTTTTCAATAAATTACGTTCATTTATAAGTTTCTACTTAATTACTGGCTCAACCCATCCAACCACGCTCTGCTAACAAGAAGTCTTATCAGGTTATGGGCCCAGTTAACGGTCAACTAAACTGCGTGAGTGTTGAGCGAATCTTCGGCGAGTATCACGTGGCGCAAAACGGAAGTTGGCCATTGTTCAAGTGCTGAAAGTTAACGTGTCGGAAGCGTGCAAGTTGAAAAACTCAAATCCGCGATGTCAGTCGGCATCTCCGTAAAAAGCATAAAGCCATTCGACGGTACGAATTTCCAGGGCTGGAAAGCTCAAGTAAATGCGTTATTCGTAATGAACGACGTTCTTGATGTCGTTGATGGCACAAGAGCAGAGCCTGCCGAGGGAGAAGGACAAGCGGCCGAGGTGAAGAGAAACGTGAAAGACGATGCAACGGCGAGATTTATAATCCTGTCGAATCTCGACGAGACTCAACAAGTGTGTGTGCTCTCGTGTACTTCCGCAAAAGAAATGTGGGACAAACTATGTTTGATTCATGAACAAAAGACAGTGACAAACAAGCTGGGTCTGCTGCAGAAATTTCATGCTTATCGGATGAGCGAATCGGACACGGCGACTCAGCACGTAGCCAGGGTGACAAACATGGCGTGTCAACTTAAGGACATCGGAGAGAACGTATCGGACGCCACAATTATAGCGAAAATTCTCTCAAGCTTGACTACAAAGTTCAGTACATTGCAGGTCGCCTGGGACAGTGTGGACCCAGAACGACAGACTCTCGATAATCTACAAGAAAGGCTGATCAGAGAGGATACCAGGCTCAACGGTGACGAAGAGAAGTCGGAAGCACTGACCGCGACAGCCAAAAATCGAAGCACCAAAGAAACAAAAGGTGCTAAGAACAAAAAACCCGAAAATAAAAAGGAAACGAAGGAAGTGCAGTGCTACAAATGTCAAGAGATGGGACATATCGCGAGACAATGTCGAAACAAGCGGAAGCTACGAGATGACGGCAACAAACCTCGTGACTGCGCATTTGTAGTCGAATCAGGTAAAAGTTCGGACAAATCGATCTTGAAAAGCGCGGGAAACGCAAGTAAGCTCTGGACACAAAGTCACATAATGACGGCCGATCCAAGCGATGTCTGGCTGATCGACAGCGGTGCATCGAGGCACCTAACTTACCGACGCGACTGGTTGACTGACTACAAAACAGATGGTACTGGCGCAACGATATCACTCGGTGATAATCAAATCTGCAATGTCGCCGGCGAAGGCACGGTGCGAATCAAAAGGCTCATCGACGGTGTTTGGCAAGACGCACGAATTGAAAAAGTGTTACACGTGCCGAAATTGCGCAAAAATTTATTCTCGGTCGGAATGTGCACAAAGAAAGGATTCGGCGTGCAATTCAAAAATAATTACGCCGAAGTTGTGCGTGATGGCAAGGTGCTCGCGATAGGTGCAAAGCAAGGCAACGACGTGTATCGCATGATCTTCAAGGTCACGAAACAAGGGAGCGTCGAAGAAGCGAACATAGCTACAACAAACTTAACCGTGTGGCATGAACGACTAGGACACGTCGGAAAGCGCGCGATTCGCGAATTAGCGAAAAAAGGACTTGTAAGTGGAGTATCGTTTACGGACAAAAATGACGTTTTCTGTGAACCGTGTCAAATGGGGAAATTGCACAGACTGCCATTCAATAAGAAAGTGGAGCGAAACACGAAAATTAAACCCGGAGAAAAAATTCACTCTGATGTCTGCGGGCCGATGTCAACGAACTCTGTGGGTGGATCAAGATACTTTCTAACCTTCAAGGACGAAGCGACCGGATACCGACACGTATACTTTATGAAGAAGAAATCCGAGGTTCACCTGAAATTCAAAATTTTTGAAAAAATGATAGAGAACAAATTCGGTCGAAAAATAAAAACGCTTCGTTCGGATAATGGTCGGGAATTCCTTAACAAAGAAATGAACGAATATCTCGAGAAATGTGGAATCCATCAGGAGAAAACGGCACCGTACAATCCGGAGCAAAACGGGAGAGCCGAACGCGACAATCGGACGATAGTCGAAAGTGCGCGAACGATGTTAATCGCGAAGAGTCTACCACTGACTCTATGGGCAGAAGCGGTAAATTGTGCAGTATACGTTCTTAATCGAACCGTGTGGACGACTGGTACAGTAACACCGTACGAAGCGTGGACTGGGAAAGTCCCAAATCTGAAGCATCTTCGAATCTTCGGCTCAGACGCGTACGTGCACACTCCCAAACAGTTTACGCAGAAATTCGATGCTCGAGCGAGTAAACAGATCTTCGTTGGTTACACGGAAGAATCGACGAATTACCGAGTATACAATCCGAAAACGAAAAGGGTCAGTGTAGCTCGCAATGTCATATTTAATGAGAAAGTCGGCAAACCTCTGGCGGAAACGAATCCAATGGAGGAAGAAAATGAAATAATACTTCCACTACCAAAAGCCGAGAACGAAGAAGAGAACGGGGGCATCGGCCAAGAACAAGCAGAAGTGGAAAACGAACAAGAGGCCTGCGAACAAGAGGATACGTCGGACCTGGAAAATCAAAGAGCTCTAAGAAATCGCTCGACAATTCAAGTACCGAGTAGGTACCGGCATGATGCATATGTGGCCGAGTACATCGTACCACAAACATATGAAGAAGCGAAGAATAGCACCGAAGCCGCGCAGTGGGCGAGTGCTATTCAAGACGAACTTCAAGCTCACGAAGAAAGTAGCACTTGGAAACTCGAAAAAAGGACGCCGGAAATGAAGCTAATCGACTCGAAATGGGTTTTTCGGGTGAAAAAAGATGCCGACGGGAAGCTGCATCGATTCAAGGCACGGTTGTGTGCGAGAGGCTTCATGCAAAGAAGGGGGATCGACTTCAACGAAACATTCTCTCCAGTTGTAAGGTACGATTCGTTGAGAATACTGCTAGCAATAATCACCTCGAAAAATCTTGAAGTAATGCAGTTTGACGTCCAAACCGCATTCTTGTACGGAAAATTGGAAGAGACAATCTTCATGCAAATTCCGGAAGGATTGAAGATAGAAGAAGATCCAAGAAATGTCGTGTGCAAGCTCCAAAGGTCCCTCTACGGTCTAAAGCAGGCTCCAAGGTGTTGGAACCTGAGGTTCACAAGTTTTCTGAGTGAGTTCAATCTAAAAGAGTGCGATGCGGATAAGTGCGTGTTTACCGGGAAATACAAAAACGACGAAGTGTATCTGGCGCTGTTCGTCGATGATGGGCTAGTAGCCTCAAAAAACGTAGAGACGCTTAAGAAAATAATTCAACGACTGAGCGAAACGTTTAAAATAACGGTCGAGGATTCAAATGTTTTCGTCGGGTTGCAAATCGAACGCGATAAAAGAAATAAACGGCTAATTATTCATCAGAGCGAATACACGCGGAAAATAATTGAAAAGTTCGGAATGGCGGAAGCGAAACCAGCAAATGTGCCAGCAGATCCGCACGCAGCACTATCTCCTAGCGAGGAGAACGACGAAAAATCCAGCAGTGTGCCGTATCGCGAAGCAGTCGGGTCGCTAGTCTTTTTAGCTGCTGTATCGAGACCGGACATCGCGTTCGCGGTAAACTCCGTGAGCAAGTATTTGAGCAATCATAATGCTGCGCACTGGCGAGCAGTAAAGCGAATATTCGCGTATCTAAAAAGCACAATCGACTACGGTATCGAATACTCAAGCGGCGGCAGCAATGTAGAATTGATAGGTTTCTCAGACGCCGATTACGCCGGAGATATCGAGACGCGAAGATCCACGACAGGATACGTTTTCTGTCTCGCAAACGGAGCTGTCACGTGGTCGTCGCAGCGGCAACGACTGGTGACGTTAAGTACCACGGAAGCCGAATACGTGGCAGCATCAACAGCAACACGAGAAGCGATTTGGATTAGGAAGTTGTTATCCGACATCGGATATCCTTGCGACAAAGAAACAACTCTATACGTCGATAACCAAAGTGCAATTCAGTTAGTCAGGAACCCGGTATTTCATAAAAGAACGAAACATATCGACATCCATTTTCACTTCGTTCGCGAAAAAGTAAATGAGAAGGAGATTATAGTCGAGTACGTTCCGTCCGAAAATCAACGCGCGGACATATTCACAAAGGCGTTGCCGCGAGATCGTTTCAAAAGCATATGTAATAAGTTAAACATTATAACGATTCACGAGAAACGCTTGAACGGCGGCAGTATTGAGAATACAAGTATTTGAG